ACATACAAGAAGAGTCAGGTTTAAATGGGAGGAATTCATACCTCCTAACTTGCTGAATTCCCAGAGCAATCTAATGCAAAGACTTAGACCTGGCATACAATAATGTATGCTGAGTAAACACCAATGAAATTCTCTTAGTGCTTAATTCCTTTTAAGTTTCTTGAAAATGACAGTCTGGTAAGTCACTTTGCCAGTCTCTTGTACACACTAGCACCGCTCCTGGGTTCCTTAATCTTAGTGCTCTGAAATTCTCTTATCAGGGAAATCACATCAACACGGGTCAATTCATATTTTACTGCAAATCCAAATGAAAAAAAGCTCTTTCCAGTGTCACATAGAACCACTTCAACTCCTAAGAGGTTATGAAAATTCTGCACCTCAGGATTCAACACTGAACTCTCAAGTCATTAAAATCTCCGAGAGAGTTTAAAAAACTGGAAGCCTCAACGCACCAAACTTATGTAGCCTCTTTCACACCCAAAAGCATTTTGTGAACTTTACCTAACACCAAAAAGCAGCAGGCTAACAGCAATGCCAAAGTGAAGACGTCTCCAAGTGTATTTCAGCAACTAGGATTAAACACCCTCCCCCAACTTGTTTTAAATCACTTGGCATAAAATTATGTCACCGAGGCATCAGGACTCCAATTTAAGGGACATTCATGAGGCCTAAGCACCAGATTGTGGCCATGCACTGACCCGGCCTGGTTTGTTTAGCTTGAGATCTGACAGTTCACTCCAAAAGGTGGTAGAAAAAAGGAATGTGGGATGGGCAAAATTTCCAGAGAACTTGGAGGCAAAACTTTTTCAAGAACTACAGTAGTCAAAAGAAGAGTCTCCACATTACACTGTCTTTTATGATTTTATTAAGATCCTTTCATGAGCCACAGTCCACCTTCTCCTTCCAAGTGTTGAAAAATCCTACAACAAAAACAAAACACTTAGCAAGAGCACAAATTTCAGTGATCACTGTAAAGTTGTTAATCATCCTGAACCAAAATTATCCTGCCGGTCTGAAGCTCCACAGGACTGCAATCCATTACCAGCCAGGCTACAACATTCATAATACAAGTTAAAATCAATGTATTGTTATTTGTGCTACGGTAGCTTCTCAGGGCCTCAACAGAGATCAGGGCCCAACCATGCTAGGCACTGCAGTTTAACATAACTTATCAGCTCCACAGTGCTTCCCACCACCATAACAGGCCTAAAACTAGCTCAGTGAGGCGGATTCCTAACATGATTGTGAAAGCAATTGTGGTTTCAATTAGTACCAATGGTCCCCTTTACTTCCCTAGCATTATCCACACACTTGTCATAATTTCTAATCTGAGAGATCAAAGGGAACAAAGCAATCCAAGGAAATCTAACAGTAAGTATACTTCGATTTTACAAAAAAAATTGATTTGTTGTATTTTTTGTAAGCTTTAGATGCTATGCATGTTGCTCTATAATAAACTGAACTGCTTCAAAGTGCTACCCATGGAGAAGTGACCAACAAGGTTTTTTTCTGACTGGCAGCAACAGCAGCTCTAGCTAGAATGTGAAGCCATGGTTGGGTCTTTCCTCCTTGCACATCTCTACCACTAAGCACATCTGCAATTGGAATTTAATTAACAACTCTGCTGACGTGCAAGCTAGAAGAGAATCACCACGCCACAGTCCCCCAAGGCAAATACAACTTAACAGGAGAAAAAAAGATCATCAGAAGTATTTGTGGCTGTGGTTGAATACACACAGGAACAGGGCTATTCCGTGAGATTGTAGCATTACAGTCACTGAACAGACCTGCACTTTATTGGT